GTTTCACGTAGAAATCTCTAAATTTCTACAAAAAATATGCAAAATTGTTTTCCACCTTTCCCTGTGCTTTGTGGTAAATGACATCATCACATCAAAGTATCACATTAAGAGAAAATCCTTTTAGCCGGTGCCAAAATACCTGAGCGAACCAGTCATATACAACATGTTTCGCAGAGGAAGAAAAGATCTAAAAGTGTATAACCCTGAAAGCATTTTTGCGAAAGTTGAAGATTTTAGTATTATATTTTCTTAGTAAAGAGATTTTGTTCATTTATCTTGGGTTGTGAGAAGGGTTTTTCCAAATATCAAAAAACAGGTTAATTCTTATTTATAGTGTGAAATGGAATGTTGACACTAAAACCAAACTTTATTTTTTTTTTACTTGTTATTTTCAAACTAAAAAATATAGTTTGAAAATAATATATACCTTTTAATATATACCTTAAAAATATACTTTGACATGACAAGGTTCAAAGTTTCATGGTGACTTTATTAGTACCCATGGGTAGGTTCTTTCACAAAAATATTCATAAAAAAATCACATATCAAGATTCAAGAATTTACTTGCCATTTGCAGTACAACCACATTGGAAAAACTATACAAGACCCCAAGATAGTACACACCATAGCTCCTGCCACGTATACACAAATAACATTAAAAAACACAACAGATAAGTAAAAAAAGAAGGTAAACGTGGTCAAAAGGTGCTCAGTCAGGACTCTTTAGAGCTAATTCCTCAGTAAAGGCCCACGATAAGAACTAAAGTGCAACATACCACTGTGATAACTCCAGCCTGTTCACCATCTTGGGACTAAAACCCTTTGAGAATTTGTAGTTCCATTGTATTGAGCTTTCAGGACCCTCATTCCAAATCGTTTAATGTTGATCTTTTGGGTCTGAAAACCACTATTACAGTTCAAAAAACGCCTTGAGCTCCAACACAGGGCTAAATATTGACTAGCCAGGAGTTAGATGCAAAGATTCTCTAAGCTGTATTGAATCGGGCAAATCATCTTTGACTTTTAGCTATTCTGTAAAAAGCGGCAACTTCTTTTATTAGTTTTGTGTAAGCCCAAGAGATGAAATCAATATTAAATAATTTTACAACTTCAAAAAAGCCTGGTTCTTTATTTTTGCCGAATGCCAGGTCAGGTAGAAGCATCTATTTGTTAGAAACTTGTGGAGGGAAAAAAAAAACTCTTCATTGTGTTTTGGACGGCAATTATCCTCAGTAAATTGGAAAAAGATTGCGTTTTTGGGCAGATATGACATGTTGATTATATACTAGGGGTATTGTTGCAAGTGTAACAATGTGGCCATCGCAAAGAAGATAATTATAGCGTTTGAAATTAATGACAAGTTTTAGCCCAAAATGCATGGACAGAGTTATATATCGCTGAAATGGGCTTATTGTGTTGTGTTGCTATGAATTTTAACTTATAGTAGTAGTAGCAGAAGTAGTATCAATAGTCTGGTGGTATAGTAGTAGTAGTAGTAGTAGTAGTAGTAGCAGTAGTAGAAGTAGTATTTTAGATAGCAGTAATAGTAGTTGTAGTAGTAGTAGTAGTAGGAGTAGTATTTTAGACCGTAGTAATAGTAGTTGTAGTAGTAGCAGTATTTTGGGTTGTAGTAGTAGTAGGTGGGATAGTAGTATTAATAGTAGTATTTTGGATGGTGGTGATAGATTAGGGGTAATAGTAGTAGTATTTTGGGTAACAAAAGTAGTAGTAGTAGTAGTGGTAGAAGTAGTTGTCGTAGTATTTGGGATAGTAGTAGTAGTAGTATTTTGTGTTATTGTAGTAGTAGTAGTTGGGGGAGGAGTAGTATTTGGGGTTTTAGTATTAGTAGTAGTATTTTGGGTAGTATAATAGGAGTAGAAGTAGTATTTTAGATAGCAGTAATAGTAGTTGTAGTAGTAGAAGTATCTTGGGTTGTAGTGGTAGTAGGTGGGGTAGTAGTAGTATTTGGGATAGTAGTATTATTAGTAGTATTTTGGTAATGATAGATTAGGGGTAATAGTAGTAGTATTTTGGGTAACAAAAGTAGTAGTATTAGTAGCAGCGGTAGAAGTAGTTGTATTAGTATTTGGGATAGTAGTAGAAGTAGTATTTTGTGTTGTTGTAGTAGTAGAAGTTGGGGGAGTACTAGTATTTTAGGTTTTAGTATTAGTAGTAGTATTTTGGGTAATAGTTGTAGAGGAAGTATTTTATATAGTAGTAACAGTATTTGTAGTAGTAGCACTATTTTGGGTAGTAGTAGTATTTGGGATAGTAGTATTAATAGTAGTATTTTGGATGGTAGTGATAGTATTAGGGGTAATAATAGTAGTATTTTGGGTAACAAAAGTAGTAGTAGTAGTAGTAGTAGAAGTAGTAGTATTAGTATTTGGGATGGTAGTAGTAGTAGTAGAAGTATTATTTTGTGTTGTTGTAGTAGTAGTAGTAGCAGTAGTATTTTGTTTAGTAATAGTAGTAGAAGTAGTATTTCGGATGGTAGCGATAGTGTTTGGAGTAGTAGTATGAATAGTCTGAGACATACAGTAGGACATAGTAGTGGTAGTATTTGTAGTAGTAGTATTTTGGGTAGTGGTAATAGCAGTTCTGGTAGTTGTAGTTTTTTTGGTTGTAGCAGTAGTTGTAGTACTTTAGATAATAAAAGTATTAGCAGTAGTAGTAGAAAGTGACAGCCTGGTAGTTCATTCACTCTTCTTTAATACTTTTTTCTTCTTCCCCTTTTGCAGAGAAAAAAAATGCTTTGTCACTCTTTCTACTGCATTATTTCAAAAACACACTTTCTTTTTCCCCGGACTTCCACGCGGGCCCTAAACCCCCCGCCCCGTTCCTCCCTGGCGTAGGAGCACTCTTGCCCGCGGCCTTCCACACAGCCGCGTCCCATTGATCGTGCGCCTGGACCTGGGCTATCACTTTGAGGTTGACAGCTAAATGACCGGTAGCCTCAGGCATTAGCCGTGCCCGTGCGTTAGCTTTAGCACCACCGCTAGGCTAATCAATACCAAACGATACGACGGCGGGACCTCATCAGCGGCGGCCATTTTAACTGACACCCAGGGTAATGTATGGGTCGTGTTCATTTGATCTTCTGGCATTCTTTAAAAAAAAACTGCAGTAGTTTTAAATTGAGGTTGGGGAAAGGCTAAAAGTGAAGGTTAGTGGTCAAAGGGTCATGGGACATAAGCACTTCTGTTTGACTAGCGAAAATGTTGAAATAAATATACGTTGCATATACGTTTAACCACAAAAATGATTCAGGACACTCGACATTCAACAACATTTATGGACTTTATCGACATTTGGTAAATTATAGACCAATTACCTTAGGTGTCTTTTTTATCACTTATAATATCCTGTGTTTGAACTTTTTGATTATCTGATCTGTGTTGACAAATCCACAACTTTGTAAAGTCCTCCGAGGTTGTCTTGAGGAGGCGGGATACGGAGCTGCGAATTATAATGTCAAATTATTTGCAGTTTTTTTAGATTCAAAAGTTTACATGCACCTGTAGATGTGGGTTTTGTAGTGATTATTGTTATTATTTTTTTTAACTGTTTATTTGGTTGGGACAGTGCAGTGCAGACACAGGGAGAACATTCAAACTACACTAAAAAAGGCCCTGTTCCGACCGGGATTCGAACCCAGAACACCTGTGCTATCCACTCAAGAGACACATCTGTATAAGAAATGTTAATGGGTTTTTTTTGGAAATACAAGGTCAAGCATTAGGATGGTAAGGTTTAATTTAGATGGATACATTTTAATGGTAAAACAGATTCAAAATGTTAAACATGTTTTTAGGCAGCAAGGATTACATATTGGATACGCTCATAATTGTCATGGTTTAGACTTATTTCCTGTTTTATTTTGTAGTTTGTTATATCCCTGTGTCTTCTTTGGTTGTACTTCCTGTCTGATCACCTGCCCCGCCTTCATGTGTTCTCTGTGGTTTTTCTGGTTTTGGATTTGTTATATTTTTGTTATTAAATCCATTATTTTGCAGTTTTTGCATTTTGGATCTCATTTAATTTTACCCTCATGACAATAATGTCTTTAAATTGGCTGTATGTTGGTCATTTTTGCATTCTTAGCCATGGACTAAAAGTTGCACTAAAAGACACAGAAATAGCAGAATTGATGTTGTCACTTATTTTGAAGTGTTGTTTTTAGAGTCTTATCCAAGTAATAATGTTGTTCAATTTAACAGTAACAACACTCTGCAGTGACTATTATTGCTTTGCCTGAATATTCTATGTTTGACGGGATGGTATTTAAAAGGCCACAGTATAAAAAAGTCAGAACTTCTGATGCTACAAAGTAAGTAAGTTAGTAATGTTTATTCATATAGAGCGTTTTACGGAGATTCTATATTATTCATAAAGATAACTCATATTCCACAAGGTCTTCTTTTGCTTAAATGATACGCAATGTACACAATTATTGTTTGGTGTTTGCATTTTCAAGCTGTACTCGTGTGTACTTCCTTACTCAGACTTTAAAGGATACATATGCAAATCAACTTTTTTGAGAATTTAAGCATGCACCTCATCAACAAAGGAACTAGAAATGGTTTTTGGCCCATGGTGTCATTTACCCCTATGACATCCCAATTGCCTCATGGGAAAATATGTTCGGTTGCTGGGGATTTGGAAAAAAACAAAAACAAATTCTAAACCTCCTTCTTGGGGATAGGGCAGGACGATAGAATTGTTTACCCTTGATACTTGTTTTAACATATACTCTCTATACATAAACTAAAGATGTTATTTCACAAAACATAAAATAACAAAGTAAATAGTATCATCCTGACCAAAAAATAAACAGTAATATTTCTTCAAACACAACAATAAAAACACGACCTATCAACCTTCTGCTTGCAATATCTCATCCCTAGTCTTAACTTCCCTCGGGCCAATCTGGCATCTTCCAGACTCCTCGGAGACAACCGTGGCGTCAGGCGGATACCCAAATGGTGTTGATCGGCCGCCTAAGGGACTCGGTAGCGGGAGGGGGCTCGGGTAGAGAAAGCCTCGACGGGGCTCCGCGGCAGGGGGCAGAGGCTGAGGAGCGAAGGGGAGGAGTGGTGATGGACCCCCAAAGCACCAGAGGGACTGACAGAAGGAGAGCCAAGGCACAATAGGAAGAGGCTTGTGGCGAGAAAGCGAGCTAATTTATCTGTCTAGCGAGAAAGAGGCTAGCACGAAGAATTGCATGCCATTCATTGCAGGATTGCGGATTAAAACTTTACAATTTGTAGCTATTGAAACCATGGAGACTTGATAGGTCTGTCTATCTCTTGCTAGCTTGTACTTGCTAGTTTTGAGCCACTATTCTAATGTAAATACAAGTTCCCTTAAACACTTGGTAGAACATATTCCTATTTTTGTCTTGTTACATAAAAAAGTGTGCGCGTTTGTTCCCAGTCTTGCAAGCTTGTTTATCCTAGTTTTGCAACACTATAAAAGAGTGAGAAGTAGAGGAGTTCTTTTAAAATAAAAGAAGAAAGTTTGCCATCACAGCGTTTAAAGAAAAATAACTAGATAGTAAAAAAAAGCTCCACACCAGTTTAGGAATTAGCATGCTATGTATGCTAACCAGTGGGGGCGGGTCCCGGCTCAAAAGTGGCCAAAATGACGAGCGCTGACATGCTTGGATCCAGAAGAAGAATTAGCCAATGCTAACATATAGCACCTCTCAAAAACGTCTTTACAGGATGGACCCAAAGTTGGCTCTTGGCCCAAAGCTCCGTTCCACATGTGTGTCAATGCTGAGGGGGGTGAATGTTTTTGGTCCACTCTAGTACTTGCTGTGAATTTTTGAAGTCTCTCGTTCAAATGAATGGAGCTGCGCCGACTGACGCATGCACAGATGCGTTTTTTTGACAATTTTCTTGTGGGCGGGACCACTCGCGGCCATTTTGGATAGCTCCAGTAGAGCACATTTTTTGGCCCATTAGTTAGAACGGCGGAGATAGGCGTGATGCTAACCTATTTCAGCATGATTCAACCTCCTTAGCGGTTTCAACACTTATGGCGCATTTTAGAAAAGTATTTTAAATTTAACCCAAAATAACTAAAAAGATTGAATAATAGTAGTAGCAACAGTATTTGACAATCAGACAACGAAGCCAAACTAGTTTATTGGAGATAAGGATTTAAATTACTCATTGACAAATTGCTTACTATAACAAGGAATAGCGTGAAAACCAATCAAGGTTAATATTATGTCATGGTTTAGGTTTTTTTTCTGGCCATACAGACTTCTGAAGCTAAGCCAGGAAGGGCCTGGTTAGTGCTGTGATGGGACACCTCAGGGAACACCAGCTGCCACAGTGTTGTTGTGTCCGTGGGCAAGACACTTCATCAACATTGCCTAGAATGTGTCTGATGTGTGCGCTTCTGTCAAGCGTGCCCCAGGGCAACTGTGGCTAGTAGTCATTTATCACTACAGTGTATGAAATGAAATAATAATGACATGTGAAGCGTTGTTGAGTGTCCAAAATAGCAATATCTAAAACCGATGCATTATTATTATTATTATTATTATCATTATTTATTATATATATATTTTTTTATTAAATCACTTATTTTAAGTTAATTTTGAGATCAATTTATTTTGCTACATGGCAGATTACGGTTAGGATCCTTTGGTTTAAGTTAGGGCTTTGGGAAACGTAAACTGACTGAGTTTTGGCAGATGTGCTTTTAGAAAAAAAGAGATGCAACCCTAAAACTAAACAAGGAACAAACCTTGATCATTTTGAACGTGATCCAAGTTTCAGAAAAGGATAAAAGAAATCTCCTGAGCAACAAATTCCGAGAAAACTGCAGCGTCATTAACTCGGCAGTAAAAGTTGAAAAGGTAATCCGAAGCAAAAATAGATTGCCCACGTCAGAAAGATATGAAAACCCATTCTAGACACACCGCCCTGCCTCCTGAGCCTTTACCTACCGAGATAACAGAAAAGGGCTTAATTACACACACGCTCTTATCTGGCAACATTAGGCCCGCGGTAATAATCAGGATCTCAGTCACAGACCTGGCAACGCTGCGCCTCTGGGTGGTTTTACACACAGAGGACTCGCTGGTGATAAGGAACCCTGCTGCTGCTACTGCTACTGCTACTGCTGCTGCTGCTGCTGGAGTGGAAATCACAAATGGCTGAAGGCGTAGGGGAGAATAATGTGCGGTAAAAGCGTTCTCACGAGTTTGTTTGGACGGATGAGCAGATAGTATGAAAGAATAGGGAATGTTTGTTTTGCTTCGGGAGTTGAATGAGCTGTTTTGTGAATGGATGGAGTCGTAGCAAAGCCAAGATGGTGCAATTGAAGTGAAAGCGACGGTTGTTAAAGCTAGAGTTGAGGTCTATTGGAACGTATCACTTCGATGGTGTCGACGCAAATGTTTGGGAGAATCTGCACATGTGTTTTTGTTTTGATTTGTCACAAAAAAAACTACAAACGATAAGCCAAAAGTTGTTTTCCTGCCAATTGGTAATCGAAGGCTTGAAGCGTGATTTTCTTTGTATTCATAATTTGGATCTTTCTACATTGGGAAAGCATTTTAGACCATACTTTTCAAGACTAGAGACAAAATAACAACAATGGCGACTTGTTTAACAGTTTAAATGTAAACTTCCATGACTCATTCACCAGTCTGTTGAGACAATAAACAAGTGTACAAGCTGCTAGAACTTGAAGGAATGAAAATAATACCTCCATATACTCAGAAAACTCCACCACTAAAAATGCACACATTAGCCGCACCTCTTTATAAGCAGCAGGTTTCAAAGAACTCAAAAAAAGTAGCGTCTTTTAGTCCGGAAATTGATTAACATATTTTGATAGAACAATATTTTTTGATGAATTAACCCTTTGATGTTCACAAGAAAGCGGGGTATTTTTTTCTTTTGTGGATTCTTTTAAGATAATACAAATAATTTGTTTTAGGATTTTTTTATTTTAGGCCTAGTTTGATGGTAGATAGATAGAAGTAGAATGGTCGAGGAAACGACAATGTTCTCCTAAGTTAACATATTTTCTGAAAAACAAACGGCAAACGGACGTTACTACACAACAATCTCGCGACACACACGTCTTCAAATTTGAACCCATTCCCGCTCCTAGTTCACTTAAGCGCGGCACATGGGCAGGTTTACCCGGGCCTCTTCCATTCTTGACCTCTGGGTCCCGACACGCGTCTCTGTTGTGTTGGCTGTTGTTGCGGAGCCTCAAAAGCCGCTTTCATCTCTCCCCGAGCCCACACTGATGGAGCGTCGGGGGGTTAGAACACAGTGACCTCTGCCTAATGGAGCGGAAAGTCTTCTCCCATCGCTTTCTAGCAGACACAACACTGCAGCCTGACGTGGATGGAGCCGCCTGTCACTCGCAGCAGCTAACAAGCGGCGAGGGATACGGGTTAGCGATGTAGGGCAACATCAATTAAGCTATTTATTTTGAGCATGGTGTGATGTTTTATTACAGAGGTTTGAACCTTTTAATGTTCACTCCTTGAAGAAAGCAATTCTTTCTTTTTTCTATTTTTTTTTTCTTTCTAAGATGTAGGAGCAGTAGTAAGAACGCATTTTACAGACCAAGGTCACCCAAAGACCGTTCAGAAGAAGAAAGTTCAGAGTTCAAATATTTTAGTAATAGCTGGTAGTATAGTAAAGGTTTGGAACTCTCTAAGTCCTCAGCTAAAACTGAACATGGACAGGGCTATATATATATATTAGTTTATTTTTTACATTTTGTTTTTTATTACAGGCCTTTACCAAATGGTTGCGATGCAGTTTGATGGTCCAACTGCAACGCATCCAAGTGAGATGCCTCAAAAGAGGGTGATCTCAGTTCCAAGCTTCAAGTAAATAGAGTGGTTCAAAATGTGATCTACAAAATGGTTGAGGAAACCTTTGAAGGGTTTAACTAAATTCTAAATGCCATTTGTTTGTAGACCCTTGCATCACAGGTACACTATAGGCAATATGTGGATGAAATCGCTTGCTTCATGTAAAAATGGGAAGATTGTCCAATATTGATGACAGAACGACAAAATTACTTTGAATGTGTGCTCCTCGAAAGGAAAAGGTCCAAGGCACTCTGACTTGAAATAAAAATGCTATATTATTGTGGGGACTTCATTTGTTTTTAAGGATTTCTAAGCAAAGTAAAACACAGAAATTACAAATGTTTATAAATGTCAATAATCATGAATGGACATACTTTAAATGGGAGTGACATTTTAACATTTCAGTAATTCTGTATGTGTAAATACCTGTTTTTCACCTACAATCCATACCATTGACAAATACTAGTATCAGCTACAATTATGTGTATGCCGGATTCTATCCAAAAACTCATTCAGAAACGTCTCAATGATTGATAATTGCCATGTTTTGCAAAGCTCATTTGGAAACTATTGTATTTTGCAATTACGCATAAACACATTTTGTATTCAAATGAAGGTAATCTGGACATACTATAGTCTGAGTTCATTGGGTTTGTATAAAGCTAGTTATAATTGAGTATGATTTCTCAAGCCTATGCCAAGCCATTTCTGCATCAACAAGACCGCCAAAAAGATCCCTAGATTTTCTTAAGATGCATGACTAAGCTCATTTGCCATCTTTGCTTCTAGCTAGTTCGCTTTGGCACACATTTGGAGACGTTTGGATATTCCATCATTAGCCCAATTTCTACAGAGATTTTTGGTCATGGAAGTTGTCATTCAGCAGGAAAATCAGGGTCGTCCTGATTGAGCATGAAGCAACTGTTGCGTAATTTGCATATACTGAGCCTGTCGTGGTTGTTATCCGCAGATTCCCTCTGGTATCACAAATGTACATCTGGTTTAGAACATTTTGTATCATCGTTGCAAGAATATAGCGTACATGGAGATTCTATGACTTAAACCAACTATAAAAAATACCTGAATATTCCTGAATTTTAAAGACTTCAGAGGCTGTCGTGATGATCCAGGACTGTGCAGCAACATTTACGGACATTGGTCATCTGCCCCTTGTGGACCACCGGCCTTATTTGTTTTTTTTATCCGATTCTCTGATCTGTGTTATCAAATTCAACCGTTTCATAAAGTCGTCCGAGATACCTACTGTTGGGATTTAGGGCTTTAGAAGAATACATGGAATTGAACTGTAAGGTTTCTGTGCCAAAAAATAAATTGTATTATATTTATTTGCTTTGTATATGCAGTGGTAATACCAAAGACTTTGAATTCTGCCAATATTGTCTATATCAAATAAAGAAGTATTAGGTGGAAGTATTCCTTGGTCATTCTTCAATAATAATCTCTTGTGCATGTGTATAGACCATCCTGAAATACTGTATCTCTTGACATGTTAATATAGCCATCAATTCCGAGAAAATCTTGGACTCCCTTCAAGGAGAATCTTAGGCTGAGTTTATACGGAGGCGCTGTGCAGACGTTGCCAGGCTATTAACAGAAACGACCAGGCTCCTAATGCAAATTTCACAGCGTTCATACAAGGTTGAAAAAACTATGTAGTTCTCGCGCCCGGCCAGTAATGGGCAGAGGAACGTTAGGACACAACACACATGACCCACAGCACCCCCCACCAGTATACTCACTTCCTCTGCAAGACGTGGAAGAATGCACCAACATCATTCTGCATTTAAAACCAGCTGCGAAAATGGAAACTGAAACTAGAGCTTTGCGTGGTCTAGTTTGGACGAACAAAGGAGTAGAATTGTCCTCAGTGCAGCGCTCGAAGCACACATAGCTAGTTAGTGTACCCGCCGCCATTGTTGTTTACGTTTGTTCTCGGCTACTGCGCATGTCCAAATTTACGTGCGGGGAGCAGCGGGGGTCAGCTCAGGCAAAGAATTCACACCTTTCGTATGAAAGAGAGCCCCCGCTGAGCAGCGTATCTGAGCTATCCGACTCTGCAGGCTGGATCTTAACTCTTACGTTTTCATCTCCCTGGAACACAGTCATCGTATGAACAGGGGGTAGCAACCGACATCCAACTATAGCGTTTTACTGCTGCAGTGTCTCTGTATAAACTGGGCCTTAGTCATCAAACCTGTCAATTAAACATGACTGGAGAGTTGGGAGTCATTGTCCATTTGCCAAACTGTGCGATTAAAAACTGGCATTTGCGCTCCGTCATTATCCCCCATTAAGCACAGCTATTCAAACCGATTCAAATGTAAATGTTTCCCCTTTCACTCCTCCTCATCCGCACGCCACACTGAGCGCTTCTGACGGCTGCGGATGATGACATAGAGTTGTACAAACAGTAAACATCTGCTTGCGGGAGGGGAGGAAAAAAAAGCTCTCCATGGCTCCGCGTTAACACAACTCCTCTCCGTTGGCCTGAAAACCACTCGACAAGATTACAACCTCCACCAGTTTCCTTTCACGAAGAGTTTAAGGGATTCTATGAAGACATCAACCTTTAGCACTCTTGACAAAGCGCGTCAAATGAAGGAGAAAATCTTTGTTTTTGAATTGAGTATGGCAACGCAAAGGTGGAACGGCAGGCGAATTTGGAATTTGGAGATTGGGGAATGTTGTTGGGTTTTGGGGGATGCTCGGTTGTGGGTATAGGCGAGGGATTATCCGTGTTGCACTAGCAGGGAGGGGAATTGTGTCTCCATATAACTGGATTTGGCTGAGCGGCTGTTTATCGGGAGAGAGTGAGTGGCTAGCTCTTCCACTCGCCTGTCAAAAGCATCCTAATCTAATCAGAGGCTAGCTTTCAACATGTGGGGAAGAGGAGGGAAGAGAGAGCCGGGCAAGTGGTGTTTATTGCTGAAATACACGAGAAGGCGGCTTTGGCTGTGATTTGGCAAAGCTATCGTTAGCAATTTTTGGAGTTTTCAACAATGTTATAATGCCCAGTTTAAAAAAATAATAAAAAAAAACATTCAGAGTTTTGTTTCATTCCTTGGAGATGTCTTTTTCAACTGATAAAATTCTCAAAACAACCAATGAACAGTGCGCCAACTGAAGAATGTCTTGGTTGAAGAGGAGCTGCACGGATTATGGTGTCATTTTGTAGTGCTGGCGAAATCCAAACTCCCAAATCTCAAGACAACTCTGAAACTGCTTTAACCCATGTTTTAAACCAAAATAAAAATACCCTAAATGATTTTTGAAGCTGGAATTTGATGAACCCTTCATACATTGACCCAGCATGAGAAAAGTCCTTTTCTATTTTGATTTATAGTTCTATGTAATCTGTACAACAATGTTTCATTTGCAACTTTTAGTCAAATGACCCAACAGTCAAATAGCATTAGAGTGTTGGTTACAAAACCAGTAATACATTCATGAAATGTTTAAGAATGTTTTAGAGAATAAGGACCTGGTCTGTGAGGCCTCTTGGAGGTCTCACATGGCGGTACCCCACATTCGCTCTACTGATGCAAATAGTTTTCCATTCACTGCTGAGCAGGTACTCAAACAGTTAGGTGATTGCAGAAGATGAGGTATCAGATGGTTACGTAGGAGGAATAACCCTGAGCATGATTCAGATTTATCATTGGCAAAATCTCATGATCGACCTGAAGCTCTGCCTCTCCATCCACGCACAAAGCTGGGGAAAGTGAGAGGAAGAGGTTTTAGTTCTGCCACCAAAGAAGGACTGTAAAAAATCCACTGTGTTTACTGATGACTTGGTTGCTGAGTTGGTAGCACTGTGTCGCCACTGGCTCTTCTGTTTGGATGTTGCATGTTTCTCCCTGAGTCTGAGTGGGTTTCCTCCAAGTGCTCTAGATTAGCCCAAATCCCAAAATATGCAACAGTGGAAAAATCTTCCAGTACTAGTCATGACCAAAAACATCCAAATATTGAAATGCTACCACTGCTCCTGAGAGAGGATATAGAGGCTTTGTGGGGTGGGTCTAAAGCAGCGAGAGAATATTCCCTGGGGGATAATAAAGTAAATCTTAACAAACGTTGCTATTTCACACTGTACCTGCAGGAGTGAGATGCCGATCTGCAGGTTGTGAATGTGCGATAATGAACTGTGTAGTGTGGTTCATGTTCTCCCCTTTTTTGTTCTACGACTGTTAAACTTTCTGACACTCTTATTATACTTACAGAAATACACCACACATAAATAGCAAGATATCTCATAAAAACAAGTGGTGTGTGACAAATGTGTTTCTGGTGAATGACTGGTTGGTGTTTGAAAGTCAATGAATATGCCTTATATTAGACAAGAGGACACAGCATTCAGAAAAGGGCTAAAATCGTCAACC